CGCACTCCCCTGATTTATGGTGTCGCGCATTGCCATTCCTACCTGGCCATAACAAATTGGACACCAGTTGATGGAAGCTCCAACTTGTCGCAATGCAGCAGGCAGGTGCCATGCTTCCCCCCCATCCCCCCGCTGGTGGAGAAAGTTAATCGAAAAGAATCACAAGTGACCGATAAGTATCGACGAACAAAAAGAATCGGAATTAAATTACGGAAAGAGGTTTATAAACGGAAGCTTAAGCCTGAAGAGGAGTGAAATATGAATCTTGGATGGAGTGGGCTCTTATAGCTAATGGAGGTAGGATGTCCTTTCTATCGGTCTGCCTTTTCTGTCATTTGTGACAGTTCTCCTTGAAGAAGTAGAGTGGTTGTGGAATCTGAATTGGTGGACAAATCAAACCAATGACTTGGAGTTGAGTTTTTGGAGGCTGCCAGGACGAGCCAGGACCAAAGCCAAGAAGGCTGATTGCAAGTAATTCGAAACTAATTGAGAGATTATTGACACATTCGAGTGAATTGCGAGCCGGAGGGCTTAGGCCTTCCTGCCACCGCCTGCCATGCCTGCCATGCCTACCACGCCCATTGCCGCCCCTTTAGAGTCCTTAATCGATAAAGTGTCAGATTAACAATGCTCGACACCGGTAATGACAGCCGACGGCTGGGATTCACGTGCGAGTACCTCCACTGACACCTCCACTATCCTTCTCCTATCCCAGTACTGCTCTGTCTCTGTCTCTGTCTTTGTTTCTGTTTCGGTTTGTGGGCGTGGCACTCAACGCCCCATTAGTCAACCAAAGAGGATGTTTGATTAAATAAGCTGCCACGCCCAGCCACGGCAAGTGACAGCTGTCTACCGGGTGGTTTCTCCCAGTGCAGCAGGGTGGCGGCAGGACATCTGGATCGGTTCAGCTCCCCCATCTGCGCTTCATTTCCCCCGAAATTCAAATTCGATTAGCCAGAGTCGCAGTAGCAGTCGCATCCATGTCCTTGTCCGGCGACATCTCATTCGAATCGGATTCGGATTCAGATTCGTAGCCCCTGTCCTGTCCGGCCGGAGGGGCAGGTGTTGATTGCCCGGTCGGAGGAGGAGGAGGAGGAAGGAGGATGCCCGGGACGCAAAGTTGCAAATGCCGGAGAACAAACAGCAACAACGAAAGAATCGGATTGGAATGACTGCAGCAGGAACTTGTTGCTCTCCCTGGGGGGTGGACGACAACGAGGACTCCGGCGGATGGAGGACTTTCGTGCGCAAATAAATCTGACAGCAGCTGGTCCAGAATAATGCCTGTTCGGTAGCCCGGCAGGATGAGCTCCCCTGATATGATTCCAATTATAATTTTCATTTCCATTTCCGCGCTCCTCCAATCGCCATTAATTGCCAAAAACCCGTGTTGCCGAAAGGATACTTTTTGTATCGCAAGGGCATTTGGAAATTGGCTTTCATCTTTAGTGCCTAGCTCCCAGCTCCCAGCACCCAGCTCCCAGCTCCCTGTTGTTTTTCCAACAGTCCTCCTACCGCCTCCGCCCCCCCGTTGTTGCAATGAGCTTGTCAACACGGTGCCCGTGGCATCCCCGCCCCCCGGACTTGTGTTTTGTGCAACTCGCCGCACATCCCCACCAGATGTATGTATTTTCTATTTCTCCCGTTGGCAGGGGCGTCGCTGGGTGGGGGGCTGGAACACCGATTTTCCACATAATTGCGCCTATTACTGATTCATCCGATTTAGGATTTCGGATTTCGGATGAAATTATGCAAAAGGCCCCACCTCCGGGCCGGGCCAGCATCGATAATGCGGAAAGTGTCCTTTTTTTTTGGTGTTTAGTTATCCTGTTGACGCTGCCGCTACTGCTCCTGGCGTGTGTGCTATGGTGCAGCATTATTTTTTAAGCACATTTCAAATCATTTGAGTGTTAAGCCATGTCCGACTGACCAATCGGGAGGCCATGTGGAAACTGAATGGATCACAGGTCACACGGGGCGTGCCACAGTCAGAGGCTGAGTGGGAGGAGGAGATGACGGTGACCTCCCCCCTCCGTTAATCATTCAACTCAATTAGACATAATTAAGTTTGCTTTTCGTTTTTTTTTTATTTTTTTTGTCGTATTTTTGTGATAAAGTGCCTGCTGTGGAATGTGTAATGAAGAGCCGGAGCTGAACTGAAGTGACACAAATGGATGAATAAATAAAGTCGAGTTGCAATTGGAATGCCAGGCATGTGAATAGGCTTCTCGATGACTTCTCAATTAATTGCAAAATACAATGCGGTTGGATCCAGGCCAGGACCAGATGGCTCTCCAGTCCAGGTGGCTCTGCAGTCCAGGTCCAGGTAGGGCCCTCCAGATTCCAATTTCCAATTAAATAAAATATAGTTTCTGCATCATGAATTCTTGTAATATTTAGTCCTGAATTCTGGCTACAAGTCAACTTTGTTTTATGGCCAAAAACTATCCTTTCAGTCTGCGCCCTTAGGTAGGCAACACTTTTTTTTTGAAGACAAAGGGACAGGACAGTAGCGACAGGTCCCCCACCAGCTTGCAACTTGTTGCACGGCGACAAGAATCCAACTCAAAACAATACGACACATGCGTGGGCGGCAGGAGCGAACCCAGCCCCAAGCCCCCAAGCCCCAAGGGGGGCGTGTCCGCATTGAGTGCAAACTCGAGTGCAATTATGCGCTCTGTTCGGTCCGCGAATGCCAGGAATGGTGTTGCCTGCCCCCACCCCGCCCCAGTCGGCATTCCTTACATTCCCCCACCCCCACTTCCCCCCTTCGGTATGTGTGGTTTTTATTAAAGTTTACTTTTTGGCGCTTAATTGTTGTGTTGTTAATTAACTGAAATCGCATTAATAGAGTTACTGGGAAAACGGCAGCCCCACTGGAGAGACACCAACTATCCTGGATTAATATCCAGATTTACAGATTATAATCTGTAAATAATAGGGTCTACAGTGCCAATAATTTGTGCTTCCTCTACCCTACACCTCCCCCTCAATCATTTAATCAAACTTTTTAATTCCATAATCATTTTTTTTTATTCTCGAATGCCCACCTCTAGTGGTGTTTCCTTACTGGGTATGTGTGTGTGTGGCTGGGAGAGCCGCCGCAGCGCATAAAAAGTTTTAATTGGCAGGCGACGAAGTTGACCTGACCTCTGGCACCCAGCCCGCACTCGGAGGAGGCAGGAGGCAGGGGGCAGGAGGCAGGGGCAGGAGGCAGGAGGCAGAAGCGACAACAATTTTTAAGTGCATTTTGAAATGCATGCACATTTTATTTCGCATCTTTTTCTGCGTGCTTCTGGCTCCTGGCTCCTGGCTGGTGGCTACCTCCTCCTCCTCATCCACCCTGGAGGGGGGTGGCACGCAATTGCATTACATTTTGCATACATTTTGTGTGTTTAATTTTAATGCAGAGAAAGCGCCAAGTTTAATAGCCAAAATGTGTTGTTAACACACTCGAAAAAGGGGGTGGCCGCGTAATCGGAATTTATTTATTTTCACATATTCTTACATGTATTTTCCATTAGTAGTAGTAGTAGTAGTAGTAGTAGTAGTAGTAGCTCTGGCATGCACAAAGTGCGATTTAAAATTAGTTTAATTGCCATGTCCTGCCTGAGAATTATTCATGGCGCTCATGGCCGAATCCTTTCTTCCCCAAAAGCGCTCAAATTATGCTTCAGAATCCCACTCACTCGAACTCACTAGAGCTCCAAGCATGGAGCATGGAGTTGATACAGTGGGTGGTAGCTGTGTTTGAGTGGTGGAGGCCATGTGGATGGCTAGAGCTTTATTTTATATCCCCGTTCGACTCCCACACGGCCCACGGTGCGGCTGAGTATTTTTGAAGGGAGCGAGGCTCGCACAACAGAGAGAGTGCGAGCGCGCTGTTAACTAACAGCGTTCCAGCAGAGCGCTAACAGAAGCCGCTCTGCAGCTCCGCAACAGCACAACAGCGTCGTGCAGTCATTCCGAATAAAGGTGCCGGACGGTGAAGTACTGTCGATGGCTGCGCGGATGTTCGATCTCTTGGCGTTCGGCGTGTAACTACCGTTTTGGTCATCGGGCCTGTCTGTATTCTTTTTTTTTGTTTGTTGTGTCGCGTTTGCCGCGTGTTTCGAAAACAACAAACCAACATTAAACATTGCCAGAATTTACAAAAAAAAAACAACAAAGTGTAAGTGGTAGGAGTTGTTGTGCCCCCTCGCTCCGATCGCGACTCCGATCTCGATCCCCATTCCCGACCCCGGTCAGTTCGGGCAGTTTTTTGTGGGTTTTTTTTTTTTCGTTCTGTTTTATTGAGATTTTTTGTTGTTGTTGGAGCCCAAGTGAATAATGGAAGATGAAGATGAAAGCAGAAAGCGCCAAGAATGGAAAACTAAATTAAATGATTCATAGCCATATTTTTCAGTTGTTTTGCATGGTTTATCTCTGTCTCTGTCTCTCTATGCTTGTGTTGTGTGCTTGTGTGTGTGTGTGTGTGAGCCAGAAAGAAGAAAAAAAAAAAAACACGAATTGCATGTGAAAAACGGGTTCTTGCAACCAGTCTCGAAAAGCCAAAAGAAAAAGGGTTCGGGCCAGCGCAGGCCATCAGACCAGGGAGAGGGAGAGGCAGAGCGGCAGAGCTGTGGAGTTTTGAGACCCAAAACTGACATCGCGAGCGGAGAGAGAGAGAGGGCATTCCAATTAAGGTGAACAGTGAGCGAGCAGGCCCCGATCGCTCTCTGGCTCTCTGTCTTCACTTCAAACTCTGTCTCTGACTCTGACTCTCTGACCCCCTCGCTCGTCCGTCTGGCCTGCAACTACCTGTGGCAGGTGTGTGTGCGAGTGCGCGAATGGCGGAACAAAGCAAAGGTGGCAAACGCTGATGTTTGTTTCTTGTCTTGTCTTGTTGTGTTTTTTTTATAGTCACCATAGCGAAAGATGTGAGAAGTGAATGAGATATTAGACTAGAGTTCGCAACCCGAGGAAGAGAATATCTTCAACAAAAGCACTCCAGAGAGCAACAAAAAAACCCCTCAAATCCAACAAGGAGACAAGGAGATCTAAAAAAAAAATCCATCAAATGCACGGCAGGCAGCGGCGATCTGCGGCCTCGTCGCTGCGATCGAAAGCAACAACAAAAACAACAATCATACCAAGAAGAAGAAGAAGAACAACAACAACAACAACAACAACAAGTCAGCAGGCAACCAAGGTAACATTGTTGTTGTTGTTGCTATGGAATTTGGACAGCTGCTCATGTTACGCGGGTAAGTTCTTTCAGTTTATGCATTCTCCCTCGTTTCTCCCTCATACTTTATCACCCCTCCATTGCCTACTGATATTCTAGCTATACATATATATACCATATGCCTTGTGCAAGTACAAAACAAACAGCCGTGGGAATATCGGGGAACCCAAAAAGACCAAAAAAATGGAAAAGATATCCGATGTTTGGAAGTCGAATTCGAAGTCGAATTCGAACTCGATGACCGTCGGCAATTATGAGGTTCTGCTCCCGTTTCCCTTCTTATCAAAAGTAAGGCAAGCAAACTCAACCAAAGAGGGGTGGGGGAGGGGGAGGGGAAATTGGAAATCTCGGGTGTGAGAATTCTTCGCCAAACAAAGTGAGGGTGCCTTGTAGGAACTCTCCAGATCTGTGATGGGAATGGAACCGCAACTCCAACTTGGTAATTAAGCTTAGTAACAGTAAATCAGCAGCATTTTTTATGCTTATGGCCCGGTACGAGTCTTATTCCAGTTCCTGGAAGACCATCCAGCAAAATAATTAGTGTCCATTGGCGGGGTATCCAGTTGCAGTCGCAGTCGCATCGCATTATCGCTCATTATCACTCCAGAGAGCTTGGGCCCGAGTATCGGGCCAGCCGCCCCTCGCAGACATGTGGGAATGCAGTGGCCAGCAATCGGAGCTTATCGCTGGGTCGCTTACAGTTCGCGGAGATACTCGGAGATACCTCGGAGATACATACATAAATATAGCTACAAATGGATCGTCTTCTAGCACTCACTTTTCAGATTCTGTTTTTTTTTTTGAGTCTTTGATTTCCAGTCTCCGGTTTTTAGTCTTCAGTTTGCGGGCTCCACTTGCCAGGCTCTACTTTCAAGGCTCTTCTTTCCAGGCTCTATTTTTTAAGTACTTGTTTTTAGTCTCCACTTTCCAGGCTCAGCTCTCCTGCCTTTTATTTCTAAAGAATCCCGCATTCCAGTCTGCACTTTCCAGTCTGTCTTCTTCAGGTTTCTTGTTAGCTTAAGGCTCCATTTTTCAGGCTTCACTTTTCAGCTACTTATTTTTGCTTTCTTCTTTTTAATCTTCAGTTTCCAGTCTCCAGTTTGCAGGCTCAGCTCTTCAGTTTCCAGTTTCCAGGCTCGAATTTTCAGGCTCATATTTCCCAGGCTCTACTGTCCAGGCTCCACTCTTAAGCTACTAGTTTCCAATCTTCACTTTCCAGTCTCAGGTCTCTTGCCTTCAGTTTCTAGATCTCGCTTTCCAGTCTGCACTTTCCAGACTCCTCTGTTTAGGCTTCTTTTTACAAGCTCTCCATTTTCAAGCTAAATATTTGAGGCTCCACATTCCAGTCTCCGCATTACAGTCTTCGCTTTGCAGTCTCCACTTTCCAGGCTTTTCCATTTAGGCTTCTTTTAGGAGGCTCCACTTTCCTTGCTTTACTTTCCATTCTCCATTTTCAAGCTAATAATTTGAGGCTCCCCTTTCCAGTCTACGCATTACAGACTCCCCATTTCACTCTTGCCTTTCCAGCTAATAATAACAGCATCCACCTTCCAGTTCCCGCCTTCCAGTCCTTCCAGCCGATCTTCTGCCCATCCAACCCCCTTGCCTCCGGCTGACCCGCCACCCACACCCACCTCCTATTGCGCCACAATGCCCGCGAAACCAAATATTAAATTCAGAATCAACAAATTTCCGATTCGATTTCTGCGGGGGATTACCTCCCATAACCTCCCTCCCTCTGCCAGGTCTTTGTTTCTGTATTTGTGTAGTGGTGTGTGTGGGTGTGGGTGTCTGATTGTGTGTGTGTTTACATGCGGAGGTGGTCGCCAAATCAGGCTGATGAAGGGACGAGGTGGCAATGTTGCCACAATACGTCCCCCCGGGGGAGCGAGTTGCATGGCGCCCGAGGCTGTGAATCGAATGCCGCAGATAGCTGGCTATTTAAACATTTAATAAAGTAGTGCCCCCCCCTCCCACCACGCTCCGTCTCGGCTTATCTCTGTCTGGGAGTCCGAATCCGATCGTTAAATACCTTTGCAACCTGACCTTGTCTGTGGGGTGTGGGGTGTGGGGATGGGCAGGTAAAGCGCTGAGTTGCAGGGAATTATAAATAGCGGGACATCTGCTTCCGTATCGTACTTCTCATAAACCCCCATTACGGATCAGGCTCATTTCAGTACTGTCCTCCACTTCTAGAAGCCTCCCCGGAGCTGGAAACAAGACCAGAACCGGCAGAAATCTCACCAAAAAAATGCAAATTGTTTGTCCAGCTGTTTTACTTTCTGTTTCTGCTTTCTGGCCATTCTTTCCATTCTTTTTTGCGAATTTTTTCTGCTTCCCATAGATATTTTGTGGCATCATCTTGGGTCTCGGGTCTCGGTCTCGGGTCTTGGGTCTCGGGTTACATGGCAAACACTGAAAACAGAAAGCTGAAGACCGAAAACTGAAAACTGAAAACCGAGCAGCCAAGACAGTTTTATAATTGGCTTCGTCTCGGAACTGGCCCATCTCCACCACCTCCAAGCCCACCACCACCTCCATTCATTAGCTTGTGACATCAATCCGGCAGTGCAGCCAACCACTTGGAGCGCGATAACCATAGAGGGGAGGGGTTAAGGTTAAGGGAAAACTGTAGAGTAATCATAATTGCGGGTGGAAATGGGCTGCCAAAGATGTGGCCAATTGGACAATATAGAGTGGGGTTTGGACTGAAGTGGAGTGGAGTGGAGTGGAGTGGAGTAGAGTGCTGGTGATGATGGCTGGGGTAAACAAAGACACAGTCCGTGTCATAACAGAAGCTCTATTGGAGAGCTCCATTGAGGTTCGAGGTTCGATTGGGTAATCAGTGAAGGGAAAGTGATTCGCGATCTAGTAGACTGGGGGGGGTCATGATACAAACCTCTTACTACTACTACTACTACTACTACTCCTACTGGTACTCTAACTACTACTCCTTCTACTACTCCTACTACTACTCTTACTACTAGTACTTCTACTACTTTCACTCCTACTACTGGTACTCCTTCTAGTACTTCTACTACTACTCTTACTTGTACTCCTATTACTACTCCTACTACTACTGCTCCTACTACTCCTACTGGTACTCTAACTACTACTCCTTCTAGTACTTCTACTACGTCTACTCCTACTACTGCTCCTACTACTGGTACTCCTACTACTACTCCTACTAGTACTTCTACTACTACTCTTACTTGTACTCCTACTCCCACTCCTACTACTAGTCCTAGTACTACTCCTACTACTACTCCTACTACTACTTCTACTACTACTCTTACTACTAGTCTTACTCCTATTCCTTCTACTAGTCCTGCTCCTAGTCCTACCACCACTCCTTCTGCTACTCCCACTCCCACTCCACCCATCTAACCCTCCTAGTTATGTGGCAGCTCATTCGATTAGCTCTCTTTCTGGTATCTGCGCTTTGTTTTTGCGGTTTCCTCCCAGGGAGAGGGGAGTGGGGAGTGGGAAGTAAGGGGTCCTTGGTTATATTCATCAGACTTTGTGACATGATATTATACCGTAACATGTTACTGTGTCTATAGCTATCTCCGACTCTGGAACTGGACAAAAAAAAGAGTTCCCATTCGATGTCCTGTCAAGCTGCCCGTCCGGGCCACAATCCCAGCACCAAACTGGAAATCTCCTTTCGGTTTCTGTTTCTGTTTCATTCTTGTTCTTGGTGTCCTTGTCGATGTCCTCTTCTCGTCCTGGCATTCTCCTTTAACAAGCTTGCATTCGGGTTGCCATTTTATAAGCCAGTAAGCGCCTTTGGCCAGAGCGTCCTCCTCCTCCGCCTCCTCCAGCTGATGGCCAAAATATTGGGAAATAAAAAATTTGAGTTCAACTGCCAGTTAAAGCCTTTAAAGCGGACCAGATCCGGCCGTGTCTATTGGTCCTGTTGTCCATTTGCATTTCATTCCCCAAAAAACACCAAAACACTGACCAATCCAATAAAGAATCTGGTCTGGTCTGGTCCCGCCGCGACCGCATTAGATAAATCAAATTTTGGGAAACAATTGTTTCGATGCGATGAGGCCTTCCACCCCCCTTCCCCCCCGAAAAATTGATTGACCCACAATGGCCATGGGCAGGACAGCAGGCTTACTGATGGTGATGGTGATGTGGTGCTATATTGTGTTATTTGTCGTGGTGTGGCTTTTCGGCATTATCCTAATGCCCTTCTATTGACAATGTAATCGGGCGCGGGGCATGGATTTCGCTTCCGACAAATATTTACGCGCCTGGCTGGACAGGATGGGGGGCTGGGGGCAGAAAGCAATTAAGGCAGGAAGGGAGCTAGGGGGGAGTGATGCAAAAATTTAAAGGATGAAAGGTGTGGAGCTGGAAGGGATGCATTAGATCCTCCTGAAACAGTGGCTGTCTTTCGGCCAGGATGGCCAGGATCCCCATGGCGAGATGGACCAGCCACTGATCCTGAATCAGGAGGAGGAGGAGGAGGAGGATGAGGAGGACATGCCTTTCAGACCATCAGGAGGTCTTAGACTAGAAACTTTTCCGCCCGGACTCCAAGTTGCCAAATTACGGAATTACGAGTTCTTGGCGGAAACTTGGAGGCACCACCCCTTTCGAGAGAGGGGGTGGGGGGATTGTAAACAGAAACGTAATTGCAACTTGCAGTACTGGTGCGTATTTGTTCGACGCTAATAGACTCCCTCAACCAGGAGGAGCTGGCTGCTAAATGGGTTTATTGGATGGCTGGCTACCATGGAAGGGAGTCTCTGACTTGCCACGCATTTCAATCAGCGTGGTTCCACTTGCCACAAAGAGGCAGGGCATTTGGGGGTTAATGGTTTATTTATTTATTTATTTAGTTTATTTTATGAATTATGAAGTTTCTAATGAGGCAAGAGGGGGTGGAGGAGGAGGAGGAGGAGCCACCACTAGCCACTACTGATTACCAATTTTTTGTTGGAGCTTACCTTGATTCTCTTGAGGAATTTTATTGCATTTTCCATTGCTATTGTTGTTGTTGTTGTT